AGCAGCAGGGTCGCCGGTTCGGATCCCATATGGGCCAGTGACACTGCACCCTCTACAGCTAAGATGGTGAACAACAGCTTGACCTGGAGGTGGGCTGCCGTGAGTCGCCGGCAACAGCGTAGGCTGCAGTGGGCTGCTGTGAGCTACCATCAGCGGCCGGCAGCCAGCGTGAGCTGCCGTGAGCAGCCATCCAATGGCCGGCAAGTGACTGCCTCAGCCGGGAAGAGCACAATGATAGTACCAACGTGGGCCAGTGAAGCGACGTCCTCCACAACTAGACTGACAAACAAAAGGACAGCAACTTGTCTGTTTCCCTCCACCAATTCCCCAATAAAATCTTTATAAATAAATAAATGAAAATCGATTGTCCCCACAGTCGTGGTGGCTTCCATTTGGGGGCAACTGGAAATAACAGAGACGCCGCCCTGCTGAAAGAGACAGCGAGAGGGAGAGGGAACTGCACAGCCGGCCGCTTGATGAGCGTGATGGGGGTGCCGCTCGGAACACCAGGAAAAGGACCGCTCTTCCAAAAAGGTGAGCACGCGGTCTGCACGTGTGGACCTACAGGAAGTGACCGTGCGTGCTGGGCCACGAGCTTGGGAAGGCAAAGTCTGAAACTGCAATGGTTTCTCACGCCCATCCCACAGCCAGGCAGCCCCCAAAGGGTCCTGCCCTCTCACTGGTTATAGGACAGAATCTGCTCCGAGGGCTGGACAGTGGGGCACAGCGCTGGGCAGGGATGGGAGGGGTCTACACGACACCCTTTCCCTCCAGTCGTGTCCAGACACTCAGGCGACCCCTTGTCCACCCAGTGCTCTGCTCTGCGTCCTCCTCTGAGCTCTCCTCTGAGCTCTCGGGCCCATTTCTCACTAGCACTTGTCACCCACACCAGGTCACATCAGGGGGTCCCTGTGCACCTCCCCACCCCCCGCATCCCAACAGATCACCAGCCCCTCTGCAGGAACTCTGTCCCCAACTGGCCTAAAGACTGCTCCATAGCAAGTCCTCAATAAGGCCAAAGAATTGCCATTAATAAGAAACCCTGGGACTGTCGCTGATATGACTCAAAAAACACATCTGTCAAAACACGAAAGCTCTGTAAATGCTGCTGAAAAAACACTCACATTACTTCTTAACTTTCTGTTCTAAAGTACCGAGGTTAGTGATTTTTTAAAATCCAAATAATGTTTAAAAACATGTACTCAGTAATGTTTAAATCTGCAAGAGTCAAATGGCACTGTTGACAGATACGAACAGAAAACTTTACGTAAATCACACCGAGGTCAAATCTGAGCGGTCTAGCTGGTTTTCATTCTTCAACGGAACAACTTTTCACTGGGTCAGAAAAAGTTAGTTCTCGCTTCCATCGACAGGCAGGACCACAGGCCTATCCTGTCACCACTAGCAGCCCAGGACACAGAGCCTAAGTGCACGTGCAAGGCACATGGAGTATTTAGGCCAGAGAAGGGGGCAAAAACTCGATGACCCATGGCCTGACACCCCAGCCACACTGGCCGTAGCAAAACCCCAGACAGCAGAGGACATGAGAGCAGGATGAGACCAGGACATCACACTTAAGTCTTAGGAGGCAGGCCCCTGACGCGAAGCTGTAGCACTAGGAGCGTCTCTTCATGGGGGTGGGGGTGGGGGTTCACAGGAGACGTCCTGACAATCTGCCATCACTCGGCCAACATTAGGGTAAAGGATGTCAAGTCAGAGACAAGAAAACGCTGGCATTTTCCTGAGCACATGAGCTGGGCAGGGACATAAGCCCCAGAACAGGGGACTGCTGTGGCAGGTGCTGCGACATGAGATGTGGGGACAAGACGAGCAATGGTTTCTAGAACTCTCCTGTCACTTTAACACAGCAGCCGAGAGGGCCTCTGAGCACAGAGTGCTGCCAACGTGAGGCGTTAACGCCAGCTCACACTTTCTCAACGCCCCACACAAAGTGGGTCTCCTCCGCTCCTGGAGGCTGGTCCAAGACCTCTGGTTGAGAAGAAAGCAGGAGAGTCGTACGGCTGTCCCAGAAACACAGACCACAGGGACACAGTGGCCCAATTTCCCTTAATTTGAAAAACCCCACATAAGGACAATGTTTGAAAGTTCACTCTGCTAAAATTTAATTTAGTTGAACATGTTTGTAAGCAATACAGCATCTAGCAATAAAAGGGTGTCACACTTCAGAGTATGTCCTCCAAGTCCTTGGAGCAGCTCCACTGTGTCACCTCAGCCTTTCAAGGCTGACATGTGACGAGGGGCACGGGGTCATGCTGCCCCTGGATAACTGAGTGGGGCACAGTATCCTAGAGGGCCAGTGCCCCTGCAGAAACAGTGGGCCAGCCCCAAGCAGCGGGAAGTGGACGTGGACTGCAGCCGAGCACAGGAACAACCTGCTTTCAAACGTGAAACAGCTATACCTGAACAGGAATGATCTCATCTGCTGAAAAGAAAGTTCTTACATCCATGGTGTCGATGGGAGGCTTACCTGAATGTGGTCCTGAGGCTGAATTTGGGGTTTCTGGACAGCCTGGAATGAGCACATTCCACCACGGGGAAGAGAACTCTCACAGTGCCCCCCCCCACTTCTTCCCGTCACTGAAGGAAGGGAAAGTAATTACTAGCTTTTCAGGGGACACAGTGTTGAAGTTCCTACTTAAATCTTCAGTAACTTCTGCCTAAGCACACCTATCACCCACTAAGTCCTTTCTGAAATGACAAGGCGTCCCAAAGTTTCACTTCAAAATATCTAAAACTACCATAAACTAGACCAAACAGAAGGGCTTTGCTTTGTTAAAATACTGTTCTCTACCTCGGTATTCACGTGAAAAAAATCCCTTCTATACATTTCCTTTCCGTGAACAAACTGTCCTCCACTCTCGTGGGGTGGAAATGTCGCCTTGCAAAAGCAGCCTGCGCCAGCAACAGAGTGAATCCTAAGTCTGTTACCAAACCTTTGAAAATAAACCCAATATGACAGATTCTACAAACTGATACAATTAAAATGCACGTGAGTACTCGGTGCACAGGTGTCTGCGCACAGCCGGTTGCTACACACGCTGCCTAATTAGCATTTCTTTAAACAATGCCGGTAACAATCTTGCCACTGTAACCCATCACAAATGCGTCGCTGAGATTGTAGCGGGAAAAGCATGAGGAAATTCGCTGAGAATCTCAGTCAAACTTTCTTTTGTTTATATTTCTTCAGTGTCAGAAAATATCTGCTCTTCGCCCCATTTGGTTCCTACCCAGGCTCCTAGATGCAGCCCTATTGTACGCGGTCCGCTAACCCTACGATAATGAATTTGTCGGCGGGGCTGGGGGAACCCCAACTAGCCAGAGCCCTGCTCCTGGCGCAGGAATTCCCCGTTTGCCATCAGGATTGAGTTGTCAGATACTGACTCGTGCTACCCTGTGAAACTGACATGTCTATTTACAGAGAAACAAAGACGCGGCTCGCAGCGGACCCCGCTCCCTCTGCGCGCCCCGTCCGCTCCGCGCGCCTCGTCCCCTCCACGCGCCTCTAGCCGCCCGGCCCCGAGGCCCCTGCAGCCCCGATTCAGCCGGTAATTAAAATAGAGACGAGGCCGGTGCCCGGCTTCAAGGGGAGACAATAACCCCCAAGGCCGGGCAGGGCGCGGGGACCCGCCCGCACCCACCTCCCGCAGTTCCGACTCTTGGCAAACTCGGCGCGGGCGGGTCCGGGTGCGGCTCCGAGGCGCGAGCAGGGGGCGCGCAGGGCGGCGCGGGCGGGGGGCGCCAGGACGCCCCCGGGCTGCCTCCTGGGGCCGGGCGTTGACGCAGCAGAAATTACCAGCTGGAAAATTCCCCTTTCGGAGGTGACGGGGGAGGGACCGCGGCGGCCGCGGCAGG